TGAGAAGCACCCAGTGAAATGTTTGTTAAGGGTTCATCCATGTTGGCCATGTTTCCAAGCTCTGCGTGGGGAGGCTGTGCCAGATAAGGGTGGGAAAAGGCTGGGGAGCTGCTGGACAATGGCTTACACAGGGAAATCCAAGCAAGTGCAGAAATGTATTTGCTAAGTTCAGCAACAGAAATGGAAGAATCAGTAATACTGCTGATAGCTTGATTATAGCTTCCTTATGGCCATTGTAAAGAGGCATTGGTACTGGCTGCCCAGGGAAGTGCTTGAGTCCCATCCCTGAAGGTATTTAGAAAATGTCTGGATGTGGAACTTAGGGACATGGTTTAATCGTGGACTAGATCATAGAGGTCTTTTCCAGTTTAAATGATTCTGTGATTCACCATGTTAACTCACCAGAAAGATAAAAAGTTTCTTTTCCTGTTATACTTTGTAAGTTTTCTAGTGACTTTTGTCAGGACACACAGTTGAGTTCAGTGAGTCAAGCCTCGTCTATTCTCATAAAGCATGACTAAAACCTTTGTCATTAGGAAACTTTTCCTTTCATGAGCAGAGGCATAATGATTTGTTTAGTGATTCACATAACTACAGACTATGTCTACGGTAGCTACAATAGCTGTTCATGTGGAATAGCAAGTTAGTATAGTTGTAGTACCGGTTAATTTTAGACTTGGATGGTTTGTTTTAAATGTAAATGAGAGGTAAGGAATAAGAAGGTCTTGACACTTATTAAGCCATTATTCAGCTAGTGATGTTCTCCCCACCTTAACAGAAAGATGTAAAGGCTACAGAATTAAGGATGTGACAGGCTGTTTTTTAGAGGTAAGACTTCATTGTACCTTAATGATGCCCTGTAAGGGGAAAAAAGCATGCACCATGAATGAAGTAATTCTTCACATGACACTGAATTGTTAACACTTCTGTATAAGTCTATGATATGTGTAATTTTGTATTAATACTACTCTTCTAAACATCATCTGTAGAAAGAATCCTTTTTTATCTGCAAGATAGCCTAGTATTTTTCATAGTAGTTGTAGATACTGTTTACTTTGATACCTACATATCACTGATGACATAGATAATCTCTAATGGTGAATACTATCCTCCTGTATGGTTTTTCCCATAATAACAGAGTGGGTTTCACCAAGGCCTGTTCAAACTTGCCACTGGTTTCTCCTCATGACAGTCAGATTGCAGAGCTGCCAGTGGAAGAACCTCAGCATTACAAAATGCTGAAGCATCCCAGGCCCCTACAGTGCTTGGTTTTAGCTGATGAATTACTGTCTGCAAGAAACAGGTACAGTGATGAGTGAAAAGGTGTCAAGAACTAGCTGGGAAGAGCCTTTTAGAGAAAGACCATAAGACTTAAAACAATACTCTGCCAAGGCAAAATATCAGGAAAACTGTTTTAAATTCCCTCAGTGAAACATACACTGTGCTTAGGATTACTGTTTTAAGAAGAGGGTGTTTAACTGCTTTGGCTGTATCTAGTGAGATATTCACCCTCTTGGTAGAATTTTTCTAAAATACATTTAAACTTTCATGGCAGAACAGTCTTAGCCAATCTTAAATGAATAACAGGAAATGTGAGTTTATTTTGAACTGTTGCACAGACACCTGACTGAGGAATTACACAAAGCATAGTACCTCTAGGCCAAATTTCATTTTTGACATAGAACAGGCTTGAGACCAAAGTCCTCTAACCTAATGAAGTTCTTCCCTTCTGGAAATTCTGTACTTAAGGTTCTTAGCACCAATGTACTTAAGATTGCTAGTTTGGTTAATGAAATAAAACCCATTTGGCTAGAATTATCTAGAAGATTATCCTAAATAAATCAACACGAATGTATCTTGCTTGGGCTAAGTCTTTTGATTTCATAATTCCAAAATACTGAGGAAATTTTATCTGAAGGATTCTGTTTACATAGTTAGTTGTCATTTATCTTATTGTTAACATGACAGTGGAATCCAACATTCTTTGAATTGTTAGAAGTAAATAATCACTAGGAAATCATGATAAAGTATTTTTCTGTCTCACATTATCAAAGGGAAATTGAATCTATTAACTTCTTCCACATCCTGTGATATGATTCAAACCTTATGTAACTTGTCTTGGGCTTCTCTTTTTTTTTTTTTTTTTGTATTTGTAATTCAGAAATTATGTTTCTATCGTTTTTTCTTTTGACTTTGTATCTGAAAACAATTTTTAAATCCTGCATTCCATAAATATTTTTCCACTGCTTAAAGCAAAAATATTTCTAAAATCAAGAATGTATCATCTAGAGGAATTCAGTGCTGTCAACTATTTCTGGATAGCATTCAAATTTACAAAAAGGGTATCTCATAATTCAGCTGAATCATCATGAAAACCATGATTATGTTGATGTGCCATTTAAACCAACCGGGAAAAAAAAAAAAAGAGGAAACACAAGAGTCCAAAATGCAAGTAGTGGAACGTGGTCCAGTGGAAAAGGACCTGGGGGTGCTGGTTGATGGCAGCTGAGCAGGCGCCAGCAGTGCCCAGGTGGCCAGCAAGGCCAATGGCACCTGGCCTGCATCAGCAGCAGTGTGACCAGCAGGAGCAGGTCAGGGACTGTCCTCCTGTTCTCAGCACTGGTGAGGCCACACCTGGGTGCTGTGTCCAGTTCTGGGCCCCTCAGTTCAGGAAGGACATTGAGCTGCTGGGGTGGGTCCAGAGGAGGACTATGGAGGTGAGGAAGGGCCTGGAGTACAAGTGCTATGAGGAGAGGCCGAGAGAGCTGGGGGCATCTGATCACTCTTTACAGCTCCCTGAAAGGAGGGTGTAGCCAAGTGGGGTTGGGACTCTTCTCCCAGGTAACAAAGGGCAGGACAAGAGGACACAGTCTGAAGTTGTGCCTGGGCAGGTTTAGGTGAATACTATAATATCTGAAGAATTGAATTATAATATCTGAATGATTGAATTATAATATCTGAAGAATTTCATGACAGAAAGGCTGATCACTGTTCCTGGAGGTGTTTAAGGAAAGACAGTGTCATGGCCTAGTTGACATGGTGGTGTTCAGTCATAGGTTGGACTCAGTGATCTTGGAGGTCTTTTCTAAGCTGATTCATTCTGTGATTCTGTACCACATTATAACTTTATAATTATTTGATGCATTATTTTCTGGTTTAAGATTATTGAAGAACATGTCTAATGTACTTATAATTAACTTAGTGGAGTTACTCTGCATTTTCCTAGTGGAACTAGGATAAGCAGGTTTTCCTCACCTGAAACTGTGAACATATTAAAAAGCCAAGGGCAGAAATGCTTACCTGATGGTACTTTACTAGTGGGCTCTAGACTGTGGCTCTATCCTCAACTTTCAGTGTGGTGTTTTCTATCTTTTTTGACCTATTTCTCTTATATAACACCCCGAACAATTTATGTTGTGTTGCAAGGTTCACTGATTATTTGAATCCAGTTAAGTCAATCAGTTCTAATATATTCTCTGTCAAGATTCCAACCAAACTTATGTTTTTGTAAAACAGGTAAATAAAATACTTTCCCTTTCCCTCCACAAAGGGGATTGGGAAGAACAAGACAAAGTGAAAAGATATTTATTTCATAGGGAAAGGGGGTTTATGTTTACACTCCACTTATAAGGAAAAATACTCTTTTCCTCATGGCTAATACTTCCAAGATGCCTGTTGGAATAAAAGTTTTAAGAGGTGAATCTCCTACAAATGCAGATGCTGATTAATATCCTCTTAAAGGTTGCATCAGGTATAATATAATGACACATGATAGGGTTAAAATGATAATTGTTAAAAAAACCATCTAATATGGGCTTGCTCTTGGTCTGTTACCTTGATATTGTTTTAGAGAATATAGTAATAGGAAAGAAATGGGGAGGGGAACCTTTTACACAGGAATAGTCCCTTCCTTTCCACCCTGTGCTACAATTTTCATTATGTTCTTCATGGTAACAAGAGAAGATAGAAGGAAGTATAATTTTATTTGAAAATAACACATGCCTCTCAAGTGTTACCAGCTTGTCTAATTCTGTGTTTTCAAGAGAGACTTTAAATGCTTGCTGTAAGGCAGAACTTCCCTTGCCTGGGAATTGCAGAATACTTCAGTGAGCTTTGCTGGATTGCTAAGGAATAAATGAATTTGGCTCTGTAAGTATGACATAGTGTACTTTAAATATACAAAACAAGGCAAAGGAAATTGTAAGTAAAGCTTTTTATCCCAGAGTATTGGAATCAATGAGAAAGGGCATAATTTAATCTCAGATCTTTATTATTGGTGATGATGGAAGAGCATGAAATAAACCAGGTTTGCTTTCCAATCCCAAGTTGTTCACAGGCGAGAGATTTGAAGAAAAACCATTGCAGTTCAAGTGTACTTGAGCTGGAGATCAGAGAAGAAAAATAAGGCTTTTCAAAATAAGTGTGCTCTAAAGTTATTTTTCAAAACAGCTTTATACATTAAGAGGTACAATAAGTCATGCATTAAGTAACTGGAAATTGTTCCCTCTTTTGAATTATTAAAAAAAAAGGAAGAAAAGGGAAATAAAAAGGAGGAAGAAAAGTGAAATTTCCCAGTGGGAAATATCTTTTAATATTGTATCCCCAGGATATTTGGGAAAAATAATAGGCTATTATGAAAAAGCTTCAACATAATAAATGTGCAACAACTTGAAGTGAATATTATTTTCACAGAATCACAGAAAAAGCTGAGTTGGAGGGGACCCTCAAGGATCAAGTCCAACTCCTGGCCCTGCACAGGACCATACCCAAGAGTCACACTGGGTGTCCACGAGCATTGTCCAAATTCTGCTTGAATTCTGTCAGGCTGGTGCTGTGACCGCTTCCCTGGGGAGCTGTTCCAGTGCCCAGCCACACTCCAGGTGAAGAACCTTTCTCTTATATCCAGGCTAAACCTCTTTTGACACAACTTCAGGCCATTCCCTTGGATCCTGGTAACTTCACATCTGGAAAGGACTCTACATGCCAGTGAAGAGTAAGCATGGCTTACTGTATATTCTTTTTTTATCCTTGACTGTTGGATCAGTTTAGGTTCAATTGTAAAATATTAAGCGGTTATAGAATTATTTGTACATGAAAATCTGAGTTGAAGGTGATACATATATCACTAGAGTTTTTGAAAATATAATTTGAAAACCATCTGAAGTTGATGTAAATCTGGTTATAGGCATGAGTTTTGTGACCTCTGTTTCAGATACAGTTTCTGCCTTTGGATTTAAATATTTCCTTCCCTTTTCATTGTTCAGGAAATGAAGCTTGAAACTATCTTAGTTTTAGACATTTACCTCCAAGTTTCAATATTTTAAAATCTTTTAAAAACCTTTTTAATTCATAGAAAATTTGAGGATTTTTTTCATGAAGACTTTAGTAAAAGGGTTGTAAACTTTAAGCTTTATGTAGCAAGTGGGTATATTTCTTGAAATGTAAGATACTCACTGAGCTTTTTCTGAGTAAGGGAGGTAAAATAATTTTTTGTCACATTCATGTATGCGAGGTAGGACCTGCAGAAGTTTACCGGTTTCTGTGGAATTAATTTTCATTATGTTTTCATCTTTTATTATATTGTACACTTTTTATCACTGCTTTGCATTTGTTTTTATTTTATTAGTGTGTTATTGGTCATCTTCCTTTCAGTAATTATGACACTTTATGGATACTATATTGCTCTAATAAGGGCTGCAAATGAGTAACATTCACAACCCTAAATTTGACTCCTAAGTACAGGATTCTAAGGTACCTAAGCAAAAGTAATACTCAAATTTAACCACTGTATGCCCTGCTTGCCCACTAGGTTCATTAGGATCTGGTCAGCTCTGACCCAGAAGTCCACAGCTCTTAACATAAGCATGACACAACCTTCTTAGAAGCCTTGCTAACTGGAACACAAATAGATCAATCCCACAGTAAATTAATGCTCAAGTAAGCTGTCTAAAGAGCTTAGGGGGGAAAAACAGGGAGGAACAGGGAAAGGGAGATAAATAGTGCTTCATACATATTCAAACTTTTTTAGGTTCAAAATCAATAGCTCTGTAATCACGTGGTGCACCTGACCAAAAACTTCACATCGGAAAACAGTTCAGAGTCAGAAAAAGGTTGAAGGGAGCTGTATTTCTTCTAATTTTTTTTTTCTAGGTACAATTCTATTTCAAAACCAGCCCACCCTACACCCTGTCTTACCAAATACGTAATTTTGTCTGCGTGGGGTAGCATTCTCATGCAGCAAGGCTGAATTTTAAGAGAAGAGAGACTTAGGATTGTTGTTCAGGAAAGTGGACAGGGCAGATGAGGTACTGTGAGCATATGGACTGGACATTTATTTCAGGTAACTTAGGAAGAGCTGACAATTAAAAGCAGAGACAGTCTTTATGTTTCCTGGCAGCTGCATATTTACCTGCATTTACTGAAGTAGTAATTTGTCATTTAAGGATTGTTGTCTGTTGTCAGCCTTCTCAATTTATTGGAGTCTGGCTGGCCCTGTTAACATGGAGGATGGGGTGTCTGAGATCACAGCCCTGTGTCCCTTCTCCAGTTCTGCTGTAGGGCAGGATGGGGGCTGCCAGGCCATATCCTGTAGTACTTTCACAGAAGTGAGTAGCTTGGAAAGTTGTGGTGGTGAATATTTGCAGGTAGTGCCAAGTGCCTTGCTGTGGGAGTCTATATAAAATGGATTACAGGGCAGTCTGGAGATGTCAGCTGAGCATGTTGTATAAATATGGGCAGTATATTTCACACATGGGTGAGGTTGTACCTTACTATACCTGTCTTCATGAGGTCAGGAGAATGGTCACAGTCACCATGGCAAATCTTACAAAAAAAGCTGTATTCACAATGGTCTAATACACCCACAGCCTTGTGCATCAGTGTCAGACAGCATTTCTTCAGAAAGGATGGGACTCTGCTGCAGGATACATTACAGAATACTGCCCTGTAATGTTCATGGGCAAGGCAGGAACCAGCAGCCATGGTGGATCTGGTTACTTGGATTCGTTCAAGAACCAACAAGATCAGTGTTTTCACTCTATTAGATTATCTCACATGGACTTGCTCACCTCCAGCATTATATTTAGTAGGTCTTGGCTTCCCTTCCCAGCAGGGAGGTCATGGCTGGTCCAGGAAAGCTGGAGCCAAAGCCATGTTGGATCTCTGTGTGCCACTGCTTGTGGATACTGGCCTCAGTCATTGCAGACCAAGGTCCCTGAGCACCCCCTGGCAGTTGTTTCCACACATACCCCCTGACCCCTGAGATCTTTACTCCAGCTGAGATTTTCACTGCCTTCTTTCCAAGCCTCTTTTTTTTTTCTCCTCCAAAGCCATGTCTCTTTTTTTTGGGGGGGGGTGAAACCTTCTTTGAGGCCCCTAGTCTCCCATTTTCTCAAGTAATCTGTGTAGAAACACAATGCATGATCAGCCTCCTAATTGGGGGTTCTGTCTCTGTATTAATTGGAGGAGTTGGGATGTGCTGCTGTTCAGTCACAACGTTATCAAAATTTATATCCAGACTGCACTGGTTGTCAGTGGAAGCTAGTAGTCTTCCTGAGGTCATAAAGTTCAGTTTCAGATATTCACACTGGTATAGACACATTCATCACCTGCTTGCTATTGCTTAATTTTATTTTTTTTTTCTTGCAACAGCAATGCACCAAAGATGCCTGAAAATACAAAAAGAAACCCTGCCTGTTCTTGGGCTTTGTCCATGGGAAGTGGACTGCGTCACCATGCTAACCACAAGAAAAACATTCCAATCTTACAGTGTTCCCTGTACTCATCTCAAATTAACTTCTCCAGGAGGGATAACATTTTAGGCGCATTTGTTGAGGAGGAAAATTGAAGCAGGGAGATGATAAAGACTTACTGAGAGCTAGCACAATAGCTTGGTGGCAGGACCAGGAAAAGAGGAAGAGATCTGACCTCACTCTGGTCTCTTGGAGTACTTAATTGTTGTAGGGGCCTCCAGTCGGTAATGAGTCTAAGACAGTGGAAAGCACAATTTCTCACGGGGGCGGGGGTTGTGGTGAAGATGTTCATTTCTCTCCTTTTGTTTGAGAGCTGTCTTTGAAGGCATTGTTCTTCCACAGCTGCAGTAGCCTACATTCATTGTGATAATTGTGGGACAATACATAGAATGGATGATTGATACATGAGATAAAGTTGTGTAAGAATATTACTAGACGATCATATGGAGATAATAAATTACACAAAGACAGCTCAAAGAAATAAGCTAAGGACAATTTTAGTGGGGTACAATGTGGGACATGGCACAGCAGATCCAAATAGGGATAAAATGAGTAATAGGGATAAAAATGAGTAAGAGAAACAGCAACCAAAACATTTGCTGGAACAAGTCATATAACAAGTTTGCTGGACACAAGTTAAAGTATTAAAGATAGGTGAGTAGCTCATGGGCAGAAAAGGAAACAAATTCTCTGTGCTCATGAAGATCTCTACTGCCTATGCACCCTGTCATCTTTTTTTCCATATAAGAAGGAGCTGGAAGTGCACTTCTTTCTTTCTCCAGGTTTACTTATGGGGTCTGGATTTTTAGGAGGTTGAGTCTGAGAGTCACTGCAAAGCTCGCAGACCAGTCTGGACATACTCAAAGAGTCAGTAAGGTGCCATAGTAAAGAGGTTGCTGCCTTTCAAAATGTGAGGTGAGCTCAATGGTTTCGAAGCAGAACACATATCAGTGTTCCTATCTGATGGGTGTAAGATGGAGAAAGCAAAGAGCAGACAAAGTTTGGTTTGGATTTTATTTTAAAATTCTTTTTTGAGGACCCTTTGTAAATTTGTTGCCAGTTCCATGTTGAGATGTCTGAGAGACAGGCTTTCTTACATTTTCCAACTCTTCTAAATTCTCACTGTTTATCAATCATACTGTATGGCCCTGACAGTTTGAACTCTCAGTGAATATAGTTTTAAGAGCACCTTGAAAATTTTTATAATGAAAGAGTAGATTAAAAAGGGAAGATGCAATTTTTACTACTAAAGTAGTATCTGAAATAAATATACTCACTTATTACTAACATTCCTCTACTTAAGTTTTTTAGTACATATGTAATAAACATGGTTGCTTCAGGAAAATTCAGTGGAAGGAGAAATGGTTTAGGCACTTCTGCCAGCTGATCACTCTGTGGCTGTGGGCTTCTCTTCCGTCTGAGAACAATAGCTACTTCATAATGCTGTGATTGCTGTGAATCCCTGTTCTGAATGCAGCCTCAGCCAGGAAGGTGAAGGGGAAGCTGACTTTCCTTTCTCACTGTTGAACTTCTAATACAGATGTTGATCTCTACAATATGTGTTGCTGCTTTCAGTCAATAGACTATGATGTCTTAGATCTCAATAATTATGCCCTCCTTGCCTAACATGACTGGTATTTCTAAATGTCTGGTATATCCCATAGATGGGTTGTCTGTGGCATAATGTAATCTTAAGGACTTTGATCCAAACTTGTTGAAGGCAGTGGGATGTGTCTGTTGACTTCAGTGGTTTTTAAGGGGTCTGAAAGAGGTAGAGGATTTGGACTAGAGCATAAGTTTATCAGCTAATACTGCCTGCAGCAGCACAGCGTGTTCACCACTATGTTAAATCACCTTTAATGCATTTAAAGAGGTCAAATTTTTCTTCCCCTCTCAAAGTACTGAAAACGTTTCAGTAGGCTATGCTAATCTTTTGCAGTGCTCTTATTTGAATATAATGAGCATCATGAGCTGCATAATGAGCACAGAATGTTGTGAAACTTACGTGTTTTAAATTTTGAAGCAAGGTTCATTCATGACATCATGTGTTAAGTTTCATCCCCCAGGGAAGGTGCGTGTGTGGTTTTTGTTTTGCTTCTTTTGGTTGGTTATTTTTTTGAAACTGAGTTATTAGGCCCTGAAAAATGGAAGTGCTGATATAATCTGAAACAGTATTTCCTGAAGGGCCCTGTTAGAGCAATAGTCTAAAAGTCTAATAAGTCCCATTGTGGGAGTCATTTGTCATTTTATCCCTGCAGGCAAATTTTTAAAGGTTAGTGAGGGCTATTTGTCAAAGTTAAATGATGCTTTAAATTTTGTTCCCAAAAACCAGGCATTTTGTGAATATTCCTAGTGGTCCTCTTCAGATTATCTTGGTAAAAAAAAAGTTTGGAATAGGATAGATGGAGAAGAAAGTGTCTGAAGCAAATTGCTTATACACTTACTTAATTCTGAAGAACACATTTGCTGTACAAAAAGTTTCAACTGCACAGTTTTGTTCTTTGCCAATAGCCAATATGTGGAAAAATGCAGGTATTTTTAATAGGATTGGTTTAAAAGGTGAAACTACTTCATTAGTGGCTAAAAGTATAGGAATCTTGCTGTTGATTCTTCTCTAGATGGGAATGCTATCTTGAAATTCCAAAATGTTGCCAGGATAGTTTCAAGTGTTTATACTTGTTGATGGAAATCAAGCTTCCAGTCTAGTGAAATCCTTCTGCTTATCTCTGATAGGATTTAACAAAGTTTTGACATGCAAAGTATTTACAATAGTAGGGAAAAGGATACAAGAATGCTGCCTTTAAAGTAACAAAATGATTCATGGTCATTGCTTTTTGACATGTTCTTTAAAGCATAATGGTATGAAAATGCTTACAAATTAAAATTGTATTCCACTTAACTATGGCATTGGCATTTTACAAGAGTTGGGTAAGAACCTTTCTCCTTTTAATTAAAGCAGTCTAGTGGGGATTTTGTATTTTTCATCAAGTTGCTAGTTATTTTGTCTGACAGTGCAAAACTGGAGAGTTGAGATGGACGACTTTATAGTCAACATGTTGCAGGCTTATAGGATCTGATTTAAAGTAGCCCATAGAGAAGTGATAGTCCTTCTGTGTACCTTGATAATCAGACACCCCAACAGATAAAACAAATAGCAAAACAAAAAAGGGAGTACTTATTTTTCCTGATTTTTTAATCAGCAAACTCTTCCCTAAAGATGGATCAAATCCTCTTATTTAATTTATTCAGCATAAATGAATTAAATTAAAACCTGATTAGCCCACAGCTGGGAGAATCTCTCTGCAATGACTTGGAACACTTGCTAGGGATTAACCCCAAATCCCAATTCTTCTTCATTGCCTGTTCTAATAGCATCATTTGTTCATGACGTTAGAGTCCTTCTTTCAGAGGTTACTGAAATACTTACGTGCCTTTAACCTTTCACATTTTAAATGCTTATGATTAACTTCATCAACAAGAATTTTCTGAGAATCAGTCTGTGATTCAGTATTTATGAAGCTGAGTGCATGAATTGCACTGAAGTATTATTTAACTCTAAGCAGGAGAAGAATTGCTGTGATTGATTCCATTAGCTTGCTGTCAAGCTATGGATGCATCTTTTCTGCTAAAGACAAAAGCCCTTGTGAAAGTACTTGCTCATTATCCTGAAATAATAGGATAATACTATGCAGTTCAGTATGAAAAGTTTTATTCTTACATCAACAATATGTTAATGATAAGCATAACATTTGCCTATTGACAGACTGATTTCTTCAGAACAATCAATTATTACATATCTAATGTTTTTAGAAATTTTACAAAGAAGTTGCATTTTTAAGGCCAGATCATAGCCAAAAGGTGGCAGTATTCTATTCAATATTCATTTACAAAACAGTATAAAAATGCATGTATTTATTGACACTTTGCTTCTAATATCTGATCAAACTGGATAATCGTATCCTAAAAATAGTGTCCATTTATGAAAAGGACTTATTTAGACTGAATGTAGAAATTAAATTTGTTGCTTATACATTAAAGTTTGCTAAAAATAATCTAGTTTGTAAATTTTAATTATTATGTGTTTAGTGTTTCACATGACACCTACATTGTCACCAAAAGAGAACTCTGTGGCCTGGGGGTTTTTATGAAGTGCTTAAGAACATTAGAACTTTTTCTGCAAGTGTTGGCAGAGTTAACTCATTTTACCTTCAAAAAGAAAGAAATTAATCTCCACATGCTTTTAATATGAGCCAAAACTGCTGCATTAAAACCAATTTGTTTTATACACCCTAGAGATTGGTAATATTTTTCATTAAGTAAGTATGGGCTTTTTTGTGCTGAGACAACAATAACTTGAAGAATTGCTGAAATATTGCTTTTCCTGCTTGCCAAGTTGTTTAGCTGTACATCAGTGGTTTGTGTCAGGATACATTGAGATTGAAGTTTGACTGTTAGTAGGAGAGAATGCTTGCAAGTGCAATTATGTTCAAGCAAATATTTTCATGTAAATTTTGATCCATTGTTACATCAGATGTTATTATGAATTTACTGTAGTTATAGAGTAAGTTTAAGTCAAATAAGGTAAATATATATTCTATTTTAATGTATGAAATACTTTTAAAAATCACTTCTTGTCACAGTCTTTTAGAAATATTTAAGAATGAAGGATCTATTCTCCAAATATTGGCCATTCCAGTTTTCTGTTAATATTTTGTTGGTTTTTTTCAGTGTTGAAAAGCTTTGATAAATGTTATATGTGAAATGGAAGAAAACATGATTCAGTGGGCAGGACATGGGAAATCCAAATGAAATGGTACTGCTTTTTAATATGCTTTGGTATTCACCTCCTGTAGAGAATAATTCACACATATCAATCTTTTGTGATGTCAAGCAAAACATGGTACAGTTCCCAAGGGAACTGGAATTAATAAGTCTTTTGATACATCACTGACTTCTCTGTTTTGCCACTTAATTTTCTCCAATAGCTCACTCACTGAATCTCTGAGGGCAGTTTCTTTTTCCAGAAAAAAAGGATGTGGCACATTTTTATTCAAGAATCATTTTGGTGTTCTCACATGGACAGGAAGATGATGTGAAATTTCATTCTTTATATAGTCAAATAAGGCAGAGCATCGTATCAATAGCACAAACTCTGGAAACATCATAAAGGTAAGAATGAAGGTGTTGGACAAACATAGTTGAATACCACAGATTTTACTAAGAAACTGCTCAGAAGACCAAAATGGATGATGATATTTTTTTACCAACAAATCATCAGTTTTAAACATAAAGTCCTGAGGAAGAGCAAGTGTGCAAATGCTGACTTTGCTAATAATCTGTTTCCTGCTGGGCTCCAGTGTTTGTGATCCATCTCCTTCTAGAGTTTATTCCCAAAGAGTATTTTAGAAAAGCTTACTTATATAGAATGGCCTAGAAATTTCATGAAATTATTCTGGGAACAAATCCAGATAGTGAAAACTGTGGGATATATTCTTGTTTATGGATATTGAAAAGAACCATTGATTATGGCAGTGTGCTCCCAAGATACTGAATATATATCCCTAGAGGAGTAGAGGGAAATCTTGTCAGTGATGTGTCACAGTTTAAGCAAATTTAGTCAGGAATCACAGCACAACTACAGCAATAATATTTTTTTTTACATTACCCTTCAAATGATATGAGCACATCTCCATCTAAAAGCAAGAGTATATGCTTTTATTAAAAGTAAAGTGTAATTGTCCTAGCAGTCCTCATGTAGGAGAATATGCCTTATGCATGTGTAGTTACATAGGAGAGCAAATGATGCTCAGTGTTTTCTTTTTGTGATTACACTGGGAGGGATTTATGCATTAAGGTACTAATCTTAAGGGTAAACTTCCTTGTGATAGTATGTAAATAGAGCTCTAGGTTTATGTTTTGTCTGCTAAGAGAAGGATGAACTCCCTGAACAAAACAGAACAAAAAGTGGAAGGATTTGGAAGGTTTTTGTGTTCATGCACAGGATGAGGTTTTGCATCTGCTGAATGCAGGTGTGCTCTTTACCATATATTTGCTGCTGTGGATGACCAGTGCCTGTGCACTTGCTCCTAGGGGCTGCTTGTTCTGTACTCTAGAGAGGCCATGGTTTCCTGTTGAACCTCTGCCTTTGCCAGCTCCCTGTTTTGTCCTGATGCCCAATGCAGCAGTAGGTGGAATGGGAGACACTGCACGAGGATGGCCGTTGCTGAAGTGCATGTGTTGCATCACGTGTTGCTCACCAGGTAAGGGTTATCCGTAAGGCTTGCTGGCATTTGAGTAAAAATATAACTGGCTTGAAAATTTTTGTCTTCTGTGTTTCTCCAAGAAAAACTTGTGATGTGCAATAAATTAGCAGTTATTACAAAACTGTGTTGGTGTTTCTGTACTAGACCTTTTAGGAGATAGATTCCCAGCAGTGTTTCCAAGCTTCAGTTCTGATCAAACAGACTTGTTTAACTTTAATAGATTTAATTGGTGAGCAAAACTTGCCAAAATCTAGTTTATTACAGTTGTATGCCTCTACTCAGGATTGCTTTTGGGGAATAATGGCAGGGCAGGACATAGGTTCTAGGAAATTTTGTGCCTCTTAGGAGATTTGATATTATTTAACTTGGGCAATAAAGTGCAAATCAGTCTGCAAGGGAAATATAATTCATATGAACAGTTGCCAGCTCTCTTGGAAGTTAAAGGGAGACTTCTCAGGGACTGAAATGGAGTTTGATATGCTGCATCTCCTCTGAAGATACTATTAACAGTGCCATTGCTAAAGAACATACAGACTGTGGCACTGATCCTGTGCTGTTTGTGCTCTGAAGTTGCTGTGAAATAGTAAAAACTCCATTTTTTTCCTAACATTTTTCTCAGGTCACACATTTTGGAGAAATACATTTGGTGAATATCATCATGCACTCAATATATATTTTTCTCTAGAGGATTTGGAGCTTTGTTTTGAGGGCTGTTTTTAATTATGCTGTATGCTTAAATACAGTATTTTAAATTTCTATTTTTCTACCTAAAATTTAGAATGTTTTCAGGACATTTTTATATTTTTGGAGAAATTCCCAGTTTTCCAATTTCAGTTATGTTGTACATGGGATAAGTGTCTTGTTTAATTCATCACATTTTTCCTTCAGGTATGTATAGGAGAGACTTGAAAGAGGATTATTTCTTGCTGAAGCTTTAAACTGAGAGCCCATTATGGAACCTTTTGAGGTGGGCTTCGCTGGCTTTAGAGAACTTAAAATAGTAGAAATAGTAAGATACTAAGATAGGGTTTTTAAAACTTAGAGCTACTTCTTTTGCCTCCTTGAGCATGATCTGATAAAACTTTAATAAAAATGCCCAGATGGACAGCTTTTCTTGCACGCATCAGCCTTTATATCATATGTAGTAATGTCTAACATCAGCTGTGAGTCAGTTTTTAAGCTGGCTCACTAAAGAAGCGAGGCTTCTGCTGTCATGCCACAGGGACCCCTGCTCATCCCTTTGTAACCTGCAGGTCAAATCAGTTTAAAGGTGGGGTAGAGATACCAGAAGGGAAAATCTTCTGCAGTAATTCCAGGGACTGAACACAACCCCTGAACTTATTTGTTCATGTGCCAGAGAATGAGAGACTTGATTTTCAGGGAGGACTTGAAGATGTGATTTCAAAATGTGTGTGTGTGTGTTAAGGGGTAGGAGGGATTGTTGATGTTCAACCCAGAGTCACAAAGACAAAATCAGCTTTTCCTATTCAAAAAATATTTGGCTGCAGCTAATCAAGTGCAACAAACCGTAAACACTTATTATTAATTGCTATCTAATGTATCTACAGTTGAAAATGTGCCCGTCTACTCAGCACTAGTGAGCTGAGCATCTGGAGTATTGTGTCCAGTTCTGGGCTCGTCATTACAGGTGAGACATGAGGTCCTGGAGCTGAGGGTCCAGCTGAGGGCTACAAAGATGATTAAGAATCTGGAGCTCTTACGAGGAGAGGCTTAAATACAGGGGCCTATTCAGCCTTGAGAAGAGGTGACTGAGAGGAGACACCATAAATGTCTACAAATCTGAAGGGAGGATGTCCAAGGATGGATCCAGGCTCTTCTCAGTGGAGCCAAGCAATAGGACAAGAGGCAATGGGCAGAAATTGATGCACAGGAAGTCCCACCTGAACTTGAGGAAGAACTTCTTTACTGTGCAGGTGACCACATACTGAAAGAAATTTGCCCTCTCTTCAACAGAGAGATTGTGGAGTCTCCCTCAAGAACATCTGGACATAATCCTGTGCCATGTGCTCTGAGATGACCCTGCTTGAGCTGAGAGGTTGTACCAGACGACCCACTGGGATCCCTTCCAACCTGACCCATCCTATGAATATATAGCCACACAAGGTAAAGGAATTTAATATCCAAGAACCTAGCACTCTTGGAAAATTACTGTCGGTTTTGGGGACTTCTGTGCTGAGTCTCAGTCATCCTAAATTTTTCTGAAATTATTAAAAAATCTAAATAATAGAACTTTAAAATGTTGAAAATCTTCAGAGAAAAATACAGCCTCTAAAAAGACAAGAAACATCCATATGGACGATGAAGCTTAAAATACCTTACTTGATCTTTCTGGCAACCAGCCTATAATCAGTCTGCAACAAGACCTCTCTATGTATCAGACTTTAGGAACTGCTGAACTCATGAGAAATATGAAAGTAGAAGTGAACTTGTTCATACTTCTTTTCCCATAGTGGTGAAGTAATGATCTAATACATGACTGAGAGGAAAGGTATGGGCAGTGCTGCTTGAAATCATGACCCCAAGGGCCTTGCTCTTTTGGGTTTAGGTCAAAGCTATAGCAAAGGTGGTGTTTTCTATTCCTTTAAAAGGATGTCTGTGTTGCTAACACAGGCCCTTGGAGGCATGATTAGTTACTCAGAAGAAAACGCTTGTCCTCCGATTGGCAAAATGTGTGTAGAAATCACAGCTGTTACTACAAATAAAATGAACATGCACTCAATAGCTGTAAACTCTGAGCTTGGACAAAAACTGTCTGGCTCTAGCTATTGCTGTTCTGGAAATCAAATTTTTTTTTCATCTACGTGTTGCTTTGTCCTGCCTAAGGATAAAAGGGTATAGATTTTGAAACGTTGAACTGCTTATATAGGTAGAATATTTAATGATATTCCTTAGTGAAAATGCTTGAGCTGATTTACTTAAATGTTGACATAAATGGAAGCAATATCTGATTTTCATAGGAAAGCTAGTAGACTGGCTACCTGCTTGAGAACAGAAACTCATGTGAAACTGCCCAAAGCAGAACACTTTGTAGATAGTGGGGTTTCAGAGTGTACAGTACATGTTCATTGACAGACTATAAAACACCAGTAGGATATCTTACAAGGTGTCTTCATATTTGCATGTGTGTTATTGGCTATTCTGTCCCTCCATAAATCAGTATACTTCTAAAGATTAGGAACAGAACTGTTTAGGCAGTTTCACGTAGACTTGAAAATAAGGGATGATTCAACAAGCTGCCTTATAAACAACAAGTCTTCTCAGTTCACTAAAAATTCACTTTTCCAGGTTTTAATCATCAAAGTAGCTTGGAATACAATTCAGTGTATTTGTATTTTGATTTCACTGCTGATAGCTCATATGTCATCCTATTTATATTAGTTGTGCTGAAATTAAAAGAGAGTTGCAGGATCTGGATGAAGATATTATCTGCCTCATTAATTGTAATGTAACTACTCACTGAATGAGTGTGAACAAGACAGATTAATGCACATTTAAATCCTTGGGCTCAAGTGGGACAGTTTTCATTGACAAAGAAAATTATACAAAGCAAAGTCATGTTCCTGCAGATCTTTGTATCTGTTGCAAACAAGGAATAGCTAACTTCAGGATAGGTTAATTAAGGATTAAAATGATCCTGATGTATTTCAAGTCATATAGAATAAAGAAATGATCTCCTAAATTGAGACAAGGGAGTGCAAAATGAAATTACGACAGGAAATACCTTTTTGCTCTGATCATGCTAGAGATTGAATTCTGTGGCCATTCTTTTTTCATCATTTGATTGATTGATCGACTTTTCCTTTAGTGTTCCTTAGATTTGATTTTGCCACTGAAAGCAAATATAATAAATAGAAATCAGTGTGACAAATACAGATAAATTATATCAATCCAGAATATTGATTTAGAAATTCACAGTTCTCCTTGTAGAACAACAGAAATATTTTGTATATCGGAATATTTTGTATTGGAAGCACTTGCTAGTATTGCAGAAAGCCGCTCAGAGGTAATGCAGTACATCTAGATTGTAGGAGCATCAGGGAGATGAGAATCTTGTCTTCCAGAGAATTCCAGCTGTTTAGTACAAGGCTTAGAGCAGATATCTTACAGAACCATCCTGAAGCATAATAGTAGAAAAAAGCATCTTTCAGATTTGTTTTTCCTCTAATTTTAAAAGCCCTTTGTCTTTACTTGGCACACATTTTCAGAGGTGCCATATTTCTTCTTTTCAGGTCAGTATATATCCTGGAATAGGCTAATCTTTACCAAAGCCAAATCCAAACCTACCCTGTCATCAGAGACTGTGTAGGAATGTGACTTTGAACTTAGGGCAAATTGCAAAATGTCTCTTGTGTGCTTCAAGTACAATGTAGGTACAACTTACCTGTGGAAGTATGGAAGAGCAGTGGGATCAGGTTTCATCCATTCCTTCTAAGTGTTCTAATCACCTTTGTGATTAATAAGGTTGTTGGCACAATCATCATGGTGGGCTCCAGCAACAAAAGAACACCAAATGACTGAATTTCAATGAAACCTCAGGACCTAAGCTTGGGAAGTAGTGGCCATCTCTGAAACCCTGTTTAATGTGTCACAGCATTCTGAGTTTGACACCATTAGAGTAACTTCTCTCAAAAACAGACAGGTTTTTAGACATGTGTTTTCTGATAATACCATTGAGCAAGGAGGAGAAAAATTTCACTGCAGGTGTTAAACCAACTTTAGCTGTAACTTTGGGAATTTTTTCAGTAGGACAGAAAGTCAAATGATTGATTAGCTGCCCCCATTGACTAATCTGTCAAATCTTCCTGCATGCCAATCAGAATTTTGCCTTTAAAGTGAAGGAAGTAGTTCTTAGGAGCCTAGTTTTAGAATTATTCATGTCTCAGAATGGTAACCAAATAATTAGTGGGTTGAGTAATTTCATTCACTGATGTGCAGAGATGGCATGTAGGAATTGTTTGAATCATAACTGGGTTACTAAAGACGTGGAATATGTGGCTGAAATGGCAGCTTTTAATACTGTTTTCAAGTAAAAGAACTTCATTTTCCCCATTGTTTTAATCTATATTTCATTTTACATTGTATTGTTCAAAGGAGGCATCAATAATCCAGTTTTTCTGCTGTCATCTGTGTGTCCTCTGTGGCTTGGTACTGCAGATCCTGATTATTGAATGTTCCTCATGTCAGTGCATCCGTGCAGGACTGTAATTGGAAAGAGGAAAATCTGTGATGCTGCTGTGAGTTGTTCCTGAAGGAAGAGTTGCAAAACCAAGCAGTTCTCTGGGGTCTTAGACTGCAAGTACCATAATGCAGTGTGCCAAATGTGCATAGGAACATTACAAACTTTGGTGAATTTTCATCATCTCCACTGAAAAAAGAAATCTTTTTAGTGGTCCTGTAGGCAGTGTGGATGGGAGGATTGATTAACACGTGCTGTAACTAAGTCCCCATATTGCCTAAACTTTAATTTAAGTGGGTAGTTAAATGTTGTTGTCAGAAGTCTGGCACAGTTGAGGAGCAGGATTCCTTCTGTCATGCATTGATCAGTTGATAGCTCTTACCAGGGGCTGCCAGGAGAGAAGGAAATCACTTGCTGTCTGTACAAAAGCGTGTTGGCTCTGGTGCCTGGCCCGTGCAGACAAACATGGGAAAAGTGTGCCTGTACTGGGGCCTGGGGTGGAGCCTTTCTGTCACCTTCTCACTGTTAGTTTCTGTGTTTGCACACAGCTTTCTGTCAAGCTTTAAAATCAAACCAACTTTCTGGAATTCAGAGCAGGCTCTGAATTTCAAAAACTTGGTTTGATTTTAAAGCTTGACAGAAAGATATGGCTCCAATAACTCATGAAGCCTTTTTTAAACTGCTGGTGAAACCTTGACCATGTTGCCATCAATGGGAAGGTTTGAAGGCTGGAGGTTACAACTGACTTGATCAGGATTAGACTTTTGCCTTGTGGATCTGTGCATGGCTTATAATTAAATTTCCAATTACTTTTAAAGATGCTGAAAATGTGTGGTGCCCATTGACTTTCTGTAGGACCTCAATAGGATGTTAACATTTCAAAAGACAAATTTTTTGTTTACTAACTTCCAATAAGAATTTAAGATCAATTTTAGACTTTTAAATTTGATCTTTTAGCTACTCCATTAACTTAAGGAAGCAATAGTACCTGTCCTACCTGTAGCTACTACTAAGGTGAGCATGTAGAAACCCCATAGCCTTGCACTGCAATCTAGCCATTTGCTAAAAGTGCAAATGTTCTTACTTGTTTACCAGTGAGCTGTCAGCTGGGATTTGCTTTATTCTGCTGTATTATTGCTGCTTTCTCTTTTTGCTCTTGATGTTAATAAAAAGCTCAATATAAAAATAAAATTGTGAAAATCAGAACTGATGCATGAATATGACATTCAAGAGCTTTTTTTTGTCTTTCTTTTTAAAGAGAGGCAATATTTGCTGAATGTGAGCAGTCTGTATGGCTCTGTGGGTGTGCATACCAGAGCATGTTTCTGAGCCTTTTTGCAATAAACTGCATGATCATACTTTAGCTTTTTTGATCCCAGAATCTTAACACCACCTTGCAGCCAGTGACCCTATAATGAATGTTGCATTTACATTACCAAATCTCATCACCATATGTCCGTGAGTGCTGTGGGGCTCAGATCAGTTGAAGACTGCTGAAGTTAGGTCTGTGAAATAAAATACAACTGCTATTCTTAGGTGAGGTATTTCTGCAAAAATTATGTTTAACAGTATGGATGCCAAGGAGAAACTAATTTGAACGGGGTTTTTCATGAGGAAAATAGTTTGTTAAATACTGACAGAGAGAATAAGTAAACTGCCTGAGTTTTAGTTTGAAAATGTACATACAACAAACACAGGAAGATAACTGTACTAGTTAAGAGATTGTTACTAACTTCTAGGGTGCATTTTTTTCAATAAAGTTATCCATGTGCTTTGAGGAGATAGTTCAGATTGTTTTTCCTTAGAATGATTGATGACAAAGGGCATAGAAACAGACACCCAGGCTGAATGTGAGGGTGAGTCATTCAGACCCAAATACCAAGTAAATCCAATTATTTTCATTGTACTTCTCTGAAATGATGGTTTGGTATATAGCTCAGCTGGGACAGATTTTTGGACTAGCACAGTGTCATTTTTAATGCCTGATGGATTTCCTATCTGATGTAGTGATTTTTTTTTAATATCATAAGAAGACTTAGTGAAGATTTAAATTTAAAGACAGTTTCATGCCTTTATAAATTTCTGTATGTTACATATGCATATATATTTTCTCACCTGAAGAAAGGTATGACAAAGAACCATTTTTGTATATAGTTTATCAGTTCTACTGAAAATACTTAATTATTCATTGTAAAAAAGCTTTTTCTACAGGGTAATTTATTATTTATTCACAAAATTTTTGACAAATGAAGTTTGAAAGGTTTTAGATGATGATATTTCTACCATGATCTTTGGAAGACTCTTGATGATCAAAGAGGAACATCATTATGAGCTTTTTCCTTGATTCACAGCCTACTTTCAGTGCCCCTTTTATTTCAAACTCTGTAAGGAAAGAAATTACTTGATTCTAGTGCTCTTTTGTTCCTCTGTCCTTTCATGTGCTTGTCTAACAATTGTCTAATAATTTCTGAACTGGCAGCCAATTTTAACCAAATTTGACTGAGGATTAAAGGTCCCAAAACTATTAAGGTCTTATACACTTCATGAAAATTGATACTAAAGGAGAGAGACTCAAGTTAGTGCCCCACTGAGCAAAGCTCACTCACAGCTTACCATGGGGAATCTGCTTAAGTGATTGCAAGTTCATGCTGGTAAAGTTAAACAAATGTACATATACTGGCTACTTCAAGCCTTAATTTTGTAGTGAACAACAGTACTGGCTTTTAAAGATTTTGTAGCAAAAGTTTTCCTTGTGCTTTTTGCATTTGGCCCTCCCTTGACTTTTCATCTTGGCAACTGATTTTTTGCTTCTTCAGTAGGAAGCTGCAAACAGCTTTTTAAAAGTGCACTTGAATCAATGTCTACTGAATTTCAAATGCTTTCAAAGTGGCAGCCTGTATGTTGAGCTCACAACTCACGTGTTACTAGCAGCTCGTATTCTGTGAGTCATTACAAGGAATCCTGAGAAGTTATGGCTTGGTTCACTTCCATCTTAGACTGATCATTAGAACTTTTTTTGGATGACTGATACAATTTGCTTCAGAGAGATTAATGAAATCCCTTCTGATGTGATAGAGTAATTAAAGTTTGTTACTAGGATAAAATGTATTGCTTTAGATATTTTCAACATAGTTTAATTTCCTTTCTTGCCAAAAACCACTCTTATTTTCACAGCATCTTTCACTTTGAATCCATAAACATGCATGGCAGTGTAGCTTGGAGTACATCCTTACTCAGGCTGAAATTCCACTCATTTAGGATTAAAATTTTATTCTTAATCATAATGGCTTTAATCTAGATTAGTCCTCAGTGGAAATATAGACATAGACATTTGATTTAATCTCTTTACTAGACCACTTATTCTGTCAAAGTTGGAATATCTAAGAGATCACACAAAAGGCACCAGTTAAACATGATGGGTGCAAGCTTCCTGAGTGCCATGAGAATGCAGTATTTCTCACTCTGTACTCACAGGCTTCCAGGCTGGTACCCTGGTACCACAGGTGAGAATTTATATTCACCTGGCACTGGAATTACTGTCCTGCCATCTTGCTTGGCTTGCTAGACTTTGACATATCACATCTCCATAGGAGACCTTTATAGGAGTTCCTCTTTATAGTTTTCCAGGTCAAGGGGCTACAGAAATGGTCCATTGACAATTATTTCTCTTGCTTCCCTGGGAAGCTGTGCTACCATTTCTGGAAGTGACTCTGCTGTCTGTTCTTTGCAGTGGTGCACTTGGTGATATTACCACCAAACACTTTTCACTTCTCTCCACTGACATCCCAGATCCAAGAAGGGCGTAGTCTATCAAGCTCTCCTCAGTTAACTTCTATCCAGGAGTTTCCTGTAAAGAAACTAAAATTCACCCAGTACATTCATGCTGTAAAATGTGTCTGCTGAAGACTGTGATGCCTGGCCCACAGACCACCTGGTGCAGGATGGTAACATCCATGCCTTACAGAGCTACTGTCCTCTGAAACAGACTGGTCATGTTCATAGTGTATGAGTTTTCTGAGCTTCACGGGGTGGCCTTACAAGTTGCTATTTTTTATGTATTTTTATGATCAAAGTGTAACATGTGGGTTGTACTTCAGTCTTCTAGAGTGGAGATTTCATTATATGAATCTTAAGGTATATGCTGCAGGGTATGGGGTATAGGCTGTGGGGTATGACGGAATGGAATGTGGGTTTATTTGCAATGGTGTCGGAGGACTACACTGAGCAGGACCCACAGAGTGTAGGCTGGTCTGTGCTGTCTTTTGGGAAGAGTTGCTAGTGAGCTACCCATAGAGCTGCCCTCCTGCTTTGATGTGAACAGAGCTAGCTAATTTCCTTCAAAGGAAAACCTTACCGGAGTGTAAGGTAGACAGGTGACCTCTGTCTGGGAGATTGTCAAGGAGCTAAGCACAACGTGGACATGTCCGCTGAGGTGCTGGTGGGATGCAGCTCATCTGCTAGAAGATATGATGTCATACTGGGGTATTGCAGGATACAAACCAGAATACACAGCTCCTACAGGAGTTTCCTGGAGCTGTTAGTGCTTCCAATGTAAATCACCAGGTTTCACCAGGTCTGGAAAGTATAACTTTTGCTGTTTTCATGGCCTTGATCATGAGCCTGCCCACAAGAAAAATAAGGCTTAGGACAGCACAAGAAACTTAAAGAACATTTTCCTTAGCTTGATACAACTTTTTAATAATGTTACTTTACTTTATAATCATCACTTTGGGTCATTTCACACTTCTTCCAAGTTTGCAATTTGTAATATTGTACTGAATGTCCTTCACTATTTATTTAAACCAAAACTCAGTTAATGTTTCTCACCATTGTTGAATGAAACTATTGTTTTGGATAGTAAAAATAGGATTCATTTGGTATTTGGATGCTTCTGGATACTAAAATGGTTTTGGTCGTCTCCAAGCACATGACTAAGCTTCATACCAGGCTCTGAGTCATAAAAGACTATAAGTAATGTCTAAATTCATATGCACTTCCTTGGAAGCATTTCCAAATTTTTTTCTTGAAGCTTTCACAGCTATAGGTGCATTAATCTGTCCTTGCTGTGGAAGTAGTGAGAACTAGATGCTTTTTCTAGGGCTTGTTCTTTTACTTTGAGAATACAGAAGGCATAGTTTGTGAGTTTAAGTTATCTTTCCTCTCCTTCACAATGTGTGCCAATGTTGATATTTCAGGGCAAATAAGGATTGCACTTGAAAATGACACTCCCAATTGTCCCTACTGAGTGTTCCTTGCTTCTCGTTGTGGGATGGTTTTGGCACACGTGCTAGATGCCTTTGGGTGAAACTAAATTGGAGTATGGACTCCCAGAGCTCATCAAATGGACTCCAGCCACAATAGGGCATTTAGTCTATGGGACCAATCTAGAGTTAGTCTAGAAATCTCTAAAACAACCCCCAAGGAAAAAGCAAGAAAAAGATCCTTTAAATGTGAGTACTGTGGGTTTCAAGTATTTCACACTGAGTGTTCTGCTCTACCAATGCTGTCCTCTTGGTCTTCTGTGGATGTGGAAACCACGACGCACAATGCAGATGTTATGTGCTTTTGAAGAAGAGAATGTCTTGGAGTTATGAGAAGAGCTTCCTGATTCTTACAGAACAAGAATGTATGAGCACTATACTATCTGGGGTTTAGTATCTGGGTAACCACTACAGCACTGAACCTTGTCTAGACACATAGTTGCATGTTGCCCTTCATAACGAATTAAAGTCCTCCTAATTGAAAACCTCTTTGTGTAGGGGGAGGATGGGAAAAGCAGAGCAGTTTTCAGATGTGTATTAGGGTTTTTTTACATTGATTTTACCTTTTTTTCAGAGGAGTTATTCTAGAGTTGCACTTTTTAACAATGGAAGAATCAAGGGCTATGACTTGCCGTCCCTATTTTATTTATGTGCCCAAAAATACCTTGGAGGTTATTCAAATAAATGCAATCCATTCCATTTACTTGACTGTCTGATGGCTTAATCATGCAAATAAATGTGAGGATGATATTTATTTGACTGTCTGTCATGGTGTTTTTTTGACTGTACAGTAAAGCATGCTTTCTTTTTCCCCAAAGAAAAAAATTAAATTAAATGTGTAAAAACCCACCCCATGTTGTAATGCAACAGTTCAGATTTTAAACACACGTAAGTCAGGACATTCAGAGTTATGACTCCCTGGAGCTTGTAGCTCAGCCATGTTGTACATGTGGTGTAGATTAAAACAGTGATTTCCTCTCCTTTCTGTGCTCCTTTCTCTTCTGAGCCTTTTTTTCTTTTAGCTTTTTTTATGGTGTCTGTGCTGGAGCTCCTCCATGGGATGGGTGATCCAGCAAAGGCCCTGGATGACAGGCATGAGAGGGCAAAACCCGTGCATGCAAGACTGGTCTGCTCGCAGCAGTAGAGGAGCCCAGCAAGGAAAGGAGGGAGCCCAAGGACCACTTCTGGGGAGGCCAGCACTTCCCTTCATGGGGATGGACCTGCCTCCTCTTCATACTCATCTCACACATGCTATTCTGTGCTGTCCATTTTGCAGCATTTTCCAAATATTTTTCTCTTCTCCCAGGCAACTCGCAACAAGGCAAGCAGAGAAAGCCTCAAGCAGTGCCAGGGAAGATTCAGGTTGGACATCAGGAAGGTTTTTTCACAAAGAAGGCTGTCAAGCATTGGAACAGGCTGCACAAAGATGTGTTGGAGTCACCACCCCTGGAGGTGTTCAAGCAACAACTGGTCATGGCACTGAGTGCTACGGTCTAGTTGACAAAGTGGTGACTGGTCAAAGGTTGGAATCACAGAATCACAGAATAAACTGAGTTGGAAGGCAGCCACAAGCATCATCAGATCTGACTCCCTACACAGCACCATCCCCAAGAGTCACACCTTGTGCCCAAGAGTATTGTCTAAATTTTCCTTGAACTTTGTCAGGCTGGTGCTGTGGCCATTTCCCTGGGGATCTTGTTCCAGTGCCAAACCACCCTCTGGTTGAAGAACCTTTTTCTAATATCCAACCTAAACCTCCCCTGACACAGCTTTAGGCCATTCCCTTGGGTCCTGTCTTGGATCACCACAGAGAAGACATCAGTGCCTGCCCCTCCTCCTCACAAGGAAGTTGTGACTGCATTGTTGTAACTCTTCTCCAGGTTGAACAGACCGAGTGACCTTAGATGTTCCCCATAGAGCTTCTCCTCGAGGTCCTTCACCACCTTTGTTGCCCTCTTTTGGATATTCTCTGCTGGTTTTCTATTTGACTTCTATTATGGCACCCAAAACTCCCCCAGCACTCGAGGTGAGGCTGCCCAGAGCAGAGCAGAGCAGGACAATCCCTCCCTTGCCTGGCTGGTGATGCTGTGCCTGGTGCCCCCAGGACACACTTGGCCCTCCTGGCTGCCAGGGCACTGCTGGCTCATGTTCAACTTGCCATATACCAGGACTCCCAGCTCCCTTCATGTGGCACTGCTTTTCAGTCTCATTCCTCAATCTGTACATACACATCTGAAGGTCTTGTTCAGCCTAAATGATTCTATGAAATAAAACTTTTTTTTTTTTTTTCAACAAATGTGCACTTGTCTTGAATCTCTTCCTCAATGTGCTTTACTTGTGCTGGTCTCTGTTATGGGGGGTGGCAGGGAGGGGGATGTAGTAACTTAAGAACAAACCTTTAGGTCCTCATTCTGTGCATGTCACAGATATTCTGTTGATAAGAGAACTGCACAGTATGATAATGTTTCTCCAGAGCCATATGTAGTCTATCTTGACAGACAATGAACGATGGATGCTTCTCAGCATTCATATTGGCAAAAATTATCTGAAAAGAGAATGTGAGTTCCCACAATACTTATTTTCTGGATCTTGCTCTTTTTCTGTGTTACTTTTTATATTCTGTATTTCTACATAACTGAATAAAATATTATATGCTCTTTTATGTGGTTACTGTTTCTTTGCTGGTCTCATAAATAACTTGCAGTGTTTTCTGACTTGGCATAGTAAAACTCCCAAATTTCCTCAACAGTATAAATTTCTGGAGACCAATAGGTGTAAATTGCCCTGAAGAGAATGCTGATTTGTTTGCTCTTCTCTAGGCCAAATCCTATAATGGAAGAGCTCATCTGTCCAACTGCTTTCTTTTCTACAAGTGCATATCATTATATCAGTCTCTGGATTTTCCAAAGAAAAAATACAAGTATTTGAGACTGTGATTATTAGTAGTTTCTGCTTTTTCAATTCTATAAACATTGAGATAATTAAAATATTATTTTAAATTCTTTTGAAATAATAGTTTTGGTTTAGTTATTGTGTGTTAAGCACTTACTGAAGTAAAAATAAACACATTTCTATTTCAACTTATACAAGCAGGATATTATTTCCAAGGTCCTCAGGGCAGGGATTGTACTTTTCCTTGTATCTGCAAATTATTTATTGGAAGAGGGGCCCTATCCTCCTTACGGCTTCAGCATTAATACTAAGTGATGATCTTCATATGGAAAATATTGAATCTGAATACACAGAATTTTGTAAATACCAGCAACCTATTGTACAATCATGACAGCACTTTTCTTTTTTCAGCTGCTCGTATTTCTCTCCTTGGTTTTCCTACATCTCTTTGTTTAGCTGACTGGAGGAGAACAAAGCAGTAAAACAAGGGCCTAAAGTTGATATCTGAAATGCAGTTGCTTGGAGAGATCTTTTTCTGGTTTTCTATGAGGTGCCTAAAGGATTTATGTCGTGGTATGTTGAGTGTGATGAGTACATGCACTGCTGACTTTAGGAGGAATTCTCTCTCAGGTCTAAATCTTCCCTCTGCTTCACAGACCAGTCCCCACCAAGTGCCTGCTGTGATCACCCATCTTCCCTCGGGAACAACGTTCCGGTGGTGCGGGACTGCCATGCTTGTGGCAGAGCTGGTTTTGGCTGCCCCTTTCCAGCCTGCCACATGCACAGGGGCCAGTCATGGTTAGCTCTGGAGCTGTACACCTCCTTCTCGTGGCTTCAGGTTACTGGGTTCAGTCTTACCTCCTTTACAAAGATGGCTCTTTCCTCAGGCACATAAGGAAAGCTTACCCAGACACAAAGTCTGTAACATGCTGCTTCTCACTGTGATGGTGTGACAGTATAGATCGTGTGACAGGAATAGACTGGCTCCTAGGTAGAGATACCAGTCAAACAATAACTGTGATTCGTGTGCTGGAGCTGTCTGTACACAGGGACTTTGTGTTGGTGCCGTGCTAAGAACATTCCTGATGAACTCTGCCTGTTCCTGCAGGTTGATAGCTTCATCCTTTGCAAAATTCTTGCTTACTTGGTACGTGGAGCTGAAATCTGAGGAAGGTTGAAGAAGTCCAAGAAATAAAAGCAGATGCAAAGGAATTGGTTTGGATATGTGGTTTTAGTGAGTGTTGCCAGCTTAATTTCTATTTTACAACAAGCTTTAACACTGGATATATGTTGTATTTTTAGAAAAAGAAAATATGTGCTAGTACAAAAGAAAGTATTCCAAGATTCAGTAGAAATTATACTACCTTTTCTTCCTTGGTCTGAAGAAAGAAATAAACTAAAGTAATTCAGGCCTGGTTTTGATAATATAAGAGAAGAAATTCAGGGCAATCACAAAATGGGAGAAAGTAACAGACATCATGAAAAAGTATTGGAAGGAGCAGCAGTCATTGCCAGCACTACACTATAATTGAGTGTACTAGGTTATTTGGTTTGTTTTTAATGAAATGCTGTAAAAACCAGTACCTTTTGTCCCTGGTTAAATATTTACAGATTATATTTGGAAGCTGCCATCAGAGTTAAATTAAAAGATCCTACTATTTTGTATCTCATATGTTTGCATAGACCATATCAGTTCACATTTAATAAGATTTGCTATCAAGAGAACCACAAACTGTTTAAATTCTTAACATCTGCAGCTTTGTCAGGTTTTCAGGGGTTGCATGTCTGAGTAGACTTGTTTAACTCAAATAAGGAATTATGGAAACAATTAAAGTTCTTCCATATTTTCATTTCAGTGACAGGCTTCCAGTCCAGCTTTACAATATGGCATTTCTTTGCATACAGCCAAAACAAGACATTCCAAGGGAACAGAAGAATTGCCATTTTTCTTATCACCACAAGCATATGATATCTGCCATCAGCAGTTGGGAAAGTTTCCATTAAAATAAATATCAGAGAAATAAATATTTCAAAACACTTTTAAACTAAGTCCCAGTAGGTGTATATTGCATGAGCACACACCAGTGTAACTTGGGATTTTATTGATTTTCATTTTTTTTCATTCATTGGGGTAAGCCTGCATTAGATTGTTTGTTTAAATATGTTCACGTATTTACACAAAACTGCTCCAATTATGCACACCACGCCTGCCATTAAAAGTTAACTATTGAATGCATATTGGCTTATGAAAGATTTAAAAAAAACAACACGTTTCAACCTGCAAATTGTTGTCAATGATGCATTTTTAAAGAGTCACCATGCATTGTTTCTTTATTGAAAGAAGGTTATATTCTCTGAAGTATTATAAATGTGAGGTTATTATAAATGTGAGGCTGCTGTCCCACAGCAAGGATCTACCTGGCAACTTAGACTGTTTTCAAAAGCAGTAAAAGACATGCATGATAAAAAAATTACTTAATAGTTCACCATGTCCTTCCAGCTTCTAATGAAAAATTGTCCAATACAGTGTATTTTCTGTTACTTTGCCCTGTCCACTTTTTAATAACCCTTTTAATAACACTTTTTAATATGGTCCTCTATAGTTTCCTGATGAAGTCTACTCTTACGCACATCTAGTTACTACAGTATTTTGTAAGTCTCTAAATCCTTCTACGAGAATCTCTCTTTTCTCTGTTATATGCTCTTGTAGTGCCCTTCACAACTTTTCCTGGTGGTAGAGATTCTGACCACTTGCCACTGTCACGACATAAGAAGAATTTACACTGCTCTAATTGGCCTTAGAGGAACTAGGCCTTTGTAGGCCGCATAGGGTCCAGCTGGAACCAGTTAAATTTTTTAGAG